GGATTTCTAAAAGTAAGGCAATTTGGGAAGTGCTTTTAAGTATTCTAGGAATGATCATGGACAAAATAAGCAGTTTCTCTGTGTGGGTATGACCCCCCCTCCTTGTTACCAGAATCCTCTTGTTTCTTTTTATTTGTAATACATCCGAGCCTCCATGTATGTAACCTATGAAATCCTGTTCATTTCTTTGTGAGAACACTAAGCCATCATACCTTCAGGACTGTCTCTCCCAGCAGGATCTTCCCTGTCTTCTCCAGTCTTCATCTTGGAATTTATTGAAGGTCCCTGGCCCATGAACTGCCCACCTTGTGTAAACAAGGGTGAAGGCCTTCTCAGTACTGGCCCCCATCCTGTTGAACCAACTGCCCTTAGAGGTGTGCGCGGGTCCAGACTTACCTGGCTGGCCGGGTGACCCGCGGAGAGGGGCATGGGATGGGGACCCGGCTGGCGAAGGGCCAGTGACATCTCGGAGGGGTCCAGCCTCCATTGCTTTTGGCTCTGCTTCAGGGCCGCTTGATGGCATGGTTGGCACCTGGCCAGTTGAGGTCTCACAGGGCAGGGAGGAGCCGGGGCATGGTGGCAGAGCCTGGGGAGAGGGGAGGGTTTGGCCCCAGACACAGAGAGCCCTGCAGCCATCGGAGGGGAAGGTAGAGGAAGAGACTGCTTCTAGGCAGCCCAACATGGTGATCACAGCAGGATGGAACGCACAGCAAATGCCAACCCCAGCCCAGCTGAGCAGACAGGGAGTGGGAATGGGAGCTTATCAGGTTAAACAATCCTGCCCAATGGGAACGGGACTTTGGTGGAGGGACACAACAGGGGATCACTCACAGGGGGGAAAGGGGGTGAGAGCCCAAGCCTGGGGTCCATAAAAGGGAGCAGAGGCTGGAATTGATGAGAAGGAGAGCAGGGGAGTTGTGTCAGAACAACTAGAGTGAGAGAGAGCCCACACTGAAGGGGAGGACTCCAGAGAGGGCCTCTTGCCTGCAATCTGAGGTCCCAGCATCTCTCTTTTAGTGCCTGACAATACGGCTAAGGGAGGGGGAACCCCGGTATGATACGTGTGACAAGGTACATGCCTTGTGGGACCTCCCTAGGTTCCACAGGGCATCAAGGCTGCTCTTTTTCAGGCAGCCTTGGGTGATTGTGATCCACCAGGCAGCTGGTCTACCTCAGCTGTGTCTTTATCATCCACGCATCCTAGATTTTAATGGGGACAACATAAAACTCTACGATACATTTTGCATTTTATATACTTTCAAACACAACAGACTTGTCTACCTTGGTATTCATGTCAACAGAACTGTGTGTGCAGTGTAGATTATTAATACTTCAGTATTACCAATAACATTTATTGATAAATCATTATTAATATTCCAAACAGGGGACCTTGGAAGGCTTGAAGGGCAGGGAAATTCCATTAGTCCTCCCTGATGGCTTCCAGCCTCACACCGACTTCCCTTCTCCCCATACTGGCTCTCCCCCCCCCCCATTGTCATCCCACTCCCATCCTTTCCAAACTATCCCGCAGTCTTCAAATGTATAAAATTTGTCAGCTTTTGGCATATGAGCCTATAAATCATGAATAAGAAATGTATAGAATGTTTACTTTTTAATTTTCTTCTAGCTCAATCTAGCGATGGGCCTTATGCAACAGTGGCTAAGCACAACTTTTGCATGCCAACAGCCCTATGCCCAATCTTCAATTAAAGAATTTCAAGTATCAAACCCGGGGGGGAAACTTTTCTCTGTTTGAGACCCCCAAGAACCACTGCAGACAGCACTGAGTCTTGGTAAATTCATATGGTTAAGTGCTGCATATGCCCTCGCCCCTTGCATAGCTCACTTTAAAAAAACTGGTAATGGCACACATCTGATGGGGGAGAGACACATCTTTAATCAAGAAATGGCTACCATGCTCCATTCTAAAGATTAAAAATGTTGGAATTCTTTAATGTTATTTTGGTACCCCACATTATGGGGTAGTTCATACAATGAACACAGAACCCACCCTTGGTCCTGTAAGCCTACGCCTGGCCTATAAAAAAGAATAATCTCTGTTTATTATTGGATGTTTACTTATTAAAATGTCTATAATATTTTTCCATCTAAATTAGCACTCAAGGCTGTTGGCTGCATAAAACAATATGTTGGAGTGTAATGAAAGCAATTAGACATGAGTTGTGACTCATAAAACAGCTGCAGAAGTACAGAGCAGGAAAGTGAACTCTGATACATGCCAATTAACTAGCAATTAAAGGCTGCAGAGCTAAAAATAGACAGAAGATAAAAAGAACTAAATGGCCTGGCGGAATGAAAATGTTTTCGCTGAGGACCATAGAGAGCTGCTGGCTGGCAGAGCTTCTGGGGAGAGATAGTCAAGGCTCTAGCATCACCACAGAAAAGACTCTGTCCCTCACACTCTTAGACAAAACTTGCTGTGGAAGCTAGACTAAGAGCAGGGACTACTCCAGGCCTGTAGCTACAGTGGGGCATTTCAGGGCCATGCCCCCTCACTCATGAGCCGCGCCCCCACACCCAAAAGGACAGCTTGTGCAGGAGCACCAGCCATGCTCATTTTCCTTGCTACATGTGGCTCCCCACCAGGCAGCCTCACTCCTTGGGCTGGAGAAAAAGAGCTGGTGGGAATGCGCTCTGCACCTGCTTGGGGGGGGGGATCAGCAGGAAGGGCTCTTCTGTGGGAGGCTAGGTGCCCCTTTCTGCCTCATCAGGTGCCTGGCCCAGTCAGGAGCCCTTGAGCCCCCACAAGGCAGCATGGGAAGGAGGCCCTTCGAGCTGGGTGGGGAGGGGAGAAAAAAGCCCCGAGTTCAGCTTCCTGCAAATGTCTTGCAAGGTCCCCTACCCAAGGCAGCCAAAGGAGTGCACGCCTATGCAGATGGCTGTCAAGAAGATACAGAGGTTCACCGGGAGCTTGCTGCAACCCCCATGCTCAGCATTAGAGTTTCACCACAGCACAGCAGCTGGCGCTTTCTGTTTAAATTTAGCCACTGCACTGTGCTGCAGCACACTCAGTCCTGCCTGCACTGCATTCTTCTCCTCCTGCCAGCCGGTCTCCGTTCTCCAGCTGGGCAGTATGTGCCTGCCTTCTCCAGATGAAGGTCAGCCTTATCCTCTGTCCTGATCATCAGCATGATGGTCAGAATGACTCCTCCTGAATTGCCCTCCCCTCCCGTGATCTCTACTGGGCACACACTCCCCAGCCCCAACCACTGACTTCCTTAAGCAGCCGCAGCTTTGCACTTCCTTGCATTGAGTTGTGCCGCCATGCAGGACATGGCAGTGGGCAGGGAGGAGCCAAAGATGGGTCCCCCTGTTCACACACACAATTCATTTTTTTTTTAAATTATCTTTGCGGGGCGGGGGGGTTGCCCCACAAAAAAAAATTGCCCCACAAGACAAAAAATGCTGACTATGGGCCTGGACTACTCTACTAATCGGATCTTCCAGTTATTTATTTGTTTATACCATGTATGACTTCCCCTTCCCAAGGCAGGCTCAAGGCATCTTTTTTTTTTTTTGCCGTCAAGTTGCAGCCAAATGGTGGTGATCCCATGAGGCTTTCAAAGCAAGAGACTAGCAGAGTTGGTTTGCCAGTGCCTGCCTCTGCGTAGCAACCCTGGACTTCCTTGGTGGTCTCCCATCCAAGTATCTAACCAGAGATGACCCTGCTTAGTAGCCAAGATCTGATGAAATCAGGCTAGCCTGGGCTATCCAGGTCAGGGCATCTTACAAACATTGCATTAAAACAATAATAAACCCAAAAGAAAACTATAATCCCCCTTCCTTCCAACCAAGCAGCCTACCCTCTTCCCTCAGGCTTCTGGCTTTGCCACGGGTGACCCGGTGCAACTGTTTCTGAGATGCCTTTTCCTTGTTCTGACCCCCCACGCACACTGCAGCTCCAAGACCCATGGCTTCTAGCAACTTGCAGAAACTTGCTAGATCCTTTTGGTGCTGCTTCATATTATGGACAATGCTGTGAGCCAGCCAGCTCCCTCCTCCTCTTCCAAGGATGAGGAATGGAAGAGTGAGGCCTTGCACCAGTGGAATGCCTGCCTGAACAGCTGGATTTAGAGGAAGAGCCAGCAAAAGACACGTGAGGCAACGAGGGTTGCTCATTCTGGCAGAAGCCAAAAGAAATGGGACAAAGGTCAGAATACCAGTCACTGCCTGAATCTCCCAAACCAGCTGAGTGCAGGAGATGTCAGGAACATTTGACAGCTTGGGAGAAATGAAGAAGTGCCTGGCTAATTGCACAATGGTGATCAGCACTAATTTCTAACACAGAGTTGTTACAGGAGCCAGAATCGCAAGTCAGTGAAAAGTAACACTTGTGCTTCATTAGGCTGATAAAAGAAAGATACTGGCCAGGGGTCGACATGGAAGCAACTTTGCTCGGCACCCTCTGTGAGATGTTTATTCAGCGAACAGACTCCTGCTTTGCCTTGTGCCTTGAAATCCTGTTCTGCTAACCCGTGTTTGTTTTTCAGCTAGGAACCCAGACCTTGCCTGTTGCTCTGAATTCCAAGCCTTGATTCTGAATTCCTGATTACCTTGTTTTCCCAGACCTGTGGACGGAACCCTCGGCTTTCTGACTCAGTGCCAGTTTGTGCCCTTGCTCTTATTTCTTGCCCTGAATTGTTGTGTTTGCAACTGTGCCTCCCAGAATTCCTGGGCAGGGTAAAAAGTGCCAGGCTCTGCCCTGAATGCGAGATTTGTTTGTTGATTTTAACTGTGTTGGTGCATACTGGAGGCTCGTGTTTAGTCATTACCAGGTTTGCCCTTGAACACGACAGACAACCACAAGCCAGGCCTGGTTGGCCTCCACTGAGGCAGCAGCAATTCCCACCCACATTAGAACAGTTATCACAGGCTGCATGCTGTTATGCAGACATTTCTGGGGATTATGGGTAAGCAAGAGCAAACATCTGCTGAGTCAAATCTTTTGCAACGAGCATGAAGAATGGCTTTACTATTACCTGTGATAAATCCAGCACAAACGTACAGCTGAAAAATGCTTGTGCAGAAGGAAGCTGAGACCATCCCTATGCCACATAGTAGCCCGCCGAATATGACCACTGGTCGGCTACCAAACCGGCTGACTAAAATACTGCTAATGGGACCTAAAGAGAAAGAGAGAGAAAAATGAATCCTTATGATAGATGTTTCTGAAAGAAATATATTTGGTTAAAACATTGTTAAGGACTTGCAGTTAGGAACTTTCGCAAGCTTAACAGCTAGCAAGGAATGTGGCTGAGTGGAAATCTCTTAAGGGCACCATCAACAAATGGCTCATACACATATGCATGCATACATTGTAACGACAGGTTCATGTGGGGCTTTGTTGAAAATATACAGTGTGCTCACTTATATTCAATCCTTGCAAGTCACATGCACTTTAAGCTGGTCTCCTCCCATCTAGATTCCTTTCCTTTCCTTGATTAATAAAGTGTAGATTCCAAAAAAGGATCAAATTGCTCCTCAAAGACCTCAGTGTAAGCCTTTCCTGCACCTGTTTCTTGCATCCGGGAAATGTTACCTTTTCCTCTTAGTTATGTATCTATGAAGCAATCATTACCAATGGGCATTTCTGGAGGATCCTTTTGTTGTTGTTCAGTCGCACAGTCGAGTCCGACTCTTCGCGACCCCATGGACCAGATCACGCCAGGCCTTCCTGTCTTCCGCCGTCCTCTGAAGTTTGCTCAACTTCATGTTCGTTGCATCTATGACACTGTCTAACCATCTCATCCTTTGCTGTCCCCGTCTTCTTTGACCTTCAATATTTCCTAGTAGGCAGCATAATACTTCCTTTGACCTTCTTTGACCTTCAATCTTTCCTAGTGGGCAGCATAATACTTCCTTGCACCATGCACAATTAAAGACATCCTTTAGTGCAAGTAAATTTATTATTACCACCAAAATTTGATGACACTAAAACTACCACACAAATATGCAGTTGTGTTTTTTACCATGGGGACGGAAGAATAACTGCCAGGAAAAGAGCAGCTAGTATTAATGTGATCAAACAAAAACAAGAAATAAGCTTTTGTAGACTACAGCCCACATTAAATGTATAAAAACATAAGAACAGCCAGAGGTCGTTTCGGGGGGATCGCGGGGGAACACCGATCCCCCGGGTGAGGCATGGGGGGCGGGGCCTGGAGCTCCCTGCTGGCACCCGCTGGAGGTCGCAGCCGGCTGCGGGGACGAGGCGGGGCGCGCTCCGTCGGGCGCAGATGAGCGAGCAGGTTTCCCAGCTGCCGCCTCCCGGATTCGCCTTTCCCGTCACGCTCGCTGCCACGCAGATGGAGCTGCCACTGGCAACGGTGGGTGAAGCGGTGGCTGGCTGGGCAAGGCGGGTGGGCAGCCAGGACTGGCGGCGGTGGTGGCAGGGCTCCGAGAAGGGTGACTTCTGCCTCCACGCAGCCTGGCCCCAGCCCCCTGCCGAACCGGGGACCGGGCAGCAAGCCTGGAGACGAGCGCACCAGGCGAGCGAGAAACGTGCTCCACATTGCACAGCCGAGCGCCGGGAGAGGAGCGGCAGAGAAAACCCGGCCTGGAGTCTCGCCGCCGTTGGTCGTTTCTCTTGCCTCCCCCTTTTCCAAATGTCCAAGATGTTTCCGAGATCTCTCTCTTGATCAGTCTCTGCCAGTTCAGACCCCATCAATGTGTATTTATATTTAGGATTTTTGGTTACAACTCTTATTCATTCATTGAATAAGTAGTTACAATATAGTTACAACTCTTATTCATTCATTCTTTTTCAAGTGTAAGCAAGGACATGGTTACCCATGCTCTAAGCCTTCTACTCAGAGTTAATCTTGTGTTTCCCTTTGGCATCTGCTGGCTCTCATTACTCACTATCTCTGCAGCCGCTCTTTTATCCTACCATGCCTTAATTGCTCACACTTGTAAAAGCCCATTGCCATTTCCAAATCTTATTCCAGGCGGCCACCAATGATAAAATTATACAGATAGCTAAATAAATGAAGATAAATCAAGAGCTAAATTTAATCCTTTAGGTGACATCGTTTGAAATTTTAAAATAAAATAGGCTTCCTTGCGTAACAATTCCTTAGCCATATCCAATCTGATGTATGTATGTGGTTGAAATCTATATAATATAGAGAATCTTATTTCATCAGGATTGTGCCCAGCTTCGTTATAGTGGACAGTCATTGGGGCCTCCCAAATTTTGTTTTTAATTTGATTTTTATGTTCCATCATTCTCAACTTAATGCTCCTTATTGTTGACCCCACATACAATTTTTGACATGGGCAAACCGCTACATATATCAGACCACAGGAATTGCAGTTATTAAATTGGTCTTTATTCCATGTTATATTAGGCTGAGGATGTTGAAAAACATGCCCTTCCATCACCATATCACAGGCAACACATTTCCCACATTTGAAAAATCCAACAGGTAAAGTTGATTCACAACCCTTTGTTTTAATCATATCTGACCAGACCACTGTATCTTTAATGCTATTGGATTTTCTCCATCCTATCACTGGTGGTAAGCTACATCCTGATAATGTATCAATTAAATACCAATGTTTATGTATGCTTTGTGCTATTTTATTAGATAATAATGAGTAATCAAAAGCACAAGCCATTCTTTTGTGTTTGCCATCATCCTGCTTATTTTTAAATAAGTTCCTCCTACTTCTTTGTTTAGCTCTTTCCATAGCTTCCTGTATTACTTTTCTAGGGTAGCCCCTGTCTCTAAAAGAGTTGTCCAAAATATCTGCTTCTATGCTGTTATCCTGATCCAAAGAAGAATTGCTTTTAATCCTAGTGAACTGACTGTAGAGAAGACTATTTTTGGTACGTTTAGGATGGAAAGAATCAAGATACAGTAATGAATTTCGATCTGTAGGTTTGGTATATACTCCAACAGCTAATTTCCCCATATATTTGAAAACCATAGTATCCAGGAAATGAACTGCCTGATTATTGAAATTGATTGTAAATTTAATAATCGGATGGATTGAATTAATCCAAGACACAAAATCATTAATGTTATTCCTGTTCTTAAATTTATTTTAAATGTCATCCAAATACCGATGGTATAATCTGATCTCTTCAAAAAAATGGGTTGACTCTACTATCACATATGAATGGCTTTTCTAAATAGTCCATAAAGATGGTGGCTAGGTCTGGAGCACATGGACTCCCCATCGCTACTCCACAAACCTGAAAATAGAAGTCCCCTTCAAATCTGAAATAATTCTTTTCAACCACAATATCTAGAATGTCCATTAAAAAGTGAGTTGGTGGATGTTTGTCTGTTCTCATCACTTCATCCTCTGGCAGTGAATCCAACATTTTAATCACTCTTGTTGTACAGAAGTATTTCCTTTTGTCTATCCTGAAACTATTGCCCATTAGCTTCATTATAAGCCCTCAAATCCTAGCATTTTCTGCTTGCAGTTCAGGTACACACAGCCCTCGCTTGTAAAAAGCATTTAAAAGGACCCTTTAAATGCTTTTTACAAGTGGAGGGGCCAGTGCCTGAACTCCAAGTGGCAAATTCGCCACTTGCAGTTCAGGCTAATCTCCCCAATGTGATGATGTCACTTCTGTGTGATGTCATCATGTTGGGGACATCCCTGCCCACTCCAGGGATGCCCCCCAAAGTCCCCTGCCAGTGGGTGAATTGGACCTGGCAACCCTATGGCATTCAGATACATATGCTTGTGCGTATAGATCCATATATGCACACAGAAATGTGAATGGTGGAACCAAAGGGCCATGAATGAAAGAGGTACACGTTTGTGACATTTGCATGCCAACTCAAGTGTATACAGCTCCAGAGACAAAACAAGAAAGACTGTGTTACTGAGAAAATGAGAAAGACTGTTACCCCCCAGTGACTGCTGTTGTGAAGGCCACTGGCCTTATTTCATATATTTTTGAGATATATACAGAACCGCTACAAGTTGTGTCTCTTGCAATTTCATGGCCTTCTGGACCCACATTTCCCATTCTCTATGTATGTGTGCCTGTCAATTTATATTTCATACATCCAGTGAAGTGGGGTCTGGTCCATAAAGCTTGTGTGTTTAGAATATCTTCTGGCCCTTTTAGATCACAGGCAGAGGGTAGCAGGGAAGACATTAGCGAAGTTTCTTACTCCTTTTAGCCGGGATCTACACCTAACACGATCAACCTTTCGGGCTGTCCTTCATTTTAACCTGTGTTAAATCTCCCCTTTCTTGTGTGACAGACTTTTTAAAGAGAGAGGAAGCGTTTACATTTCTGCTTCTTAATTAAGAGGACTAGGTGAGAATGAAGGAGGTAGAAACAGCTGGCGGGATCTGGCACATTCTCATAAAGCTGCCACTTACTGGCCTTGACCTTGTGGAGGAAGCTGCAAAAGCGTCAACAGATTTCCCCTGAAAAAAGCTTCAGAACTGAGGAAGGAGCCTCTGAGGTCTAGTCAACAGCTGCTGAAGGTTTTATCAATACGGCTTGCGGCTTTCAAAAATGAAAAAATGCCACCTGAGAACAATCATTACTAGCCTGATGCATGGAGCAGAATCGCCAATTGCTGGGCTCCTTTTAATGGAGAAAAAACTGGGAATACTCTGGTCGCTCACTGCACTCAAACCTACGAAGAATTAACTACCTGGTTTCAAAAAACAGGGTGCAAGAGCTAACAGCATGCTTTCCTGTCAGTCAAGTCAGTCAGACAACCAATTACCCAGCTTCTTTCTCTCAATGACCTTTCAGATTCTATGTATGCTGGGGAAGCAAAGGGAAACAAAAAACTTTTATTATGCTGGAATGAAATGCTAGGCTCAGAGCAGAGACCGTCCCTGGAACACACCAAACCAGAATAAAAATAGGATTGCTCTGAGCATTATTTCCCTCACCAGTGAACAAGTGTGACCCAGCTCCCAACATCAAAGATGCACTGGGTTAGGCTGAGAGACAGTAACTGCCTCAAGATCGCCTAGTGAGTTTCCCTAGCAGAGTAGGATTTCTCAAGTCCTAGTCTGATACTCTAACAAGGACACCACAATGGCACTCACTGAAGCCTGCTTCACAGATATGCAGAAAAATGAGGTGGCAGAGCCCCGAGGTGGTACTGCACCACTTCAGATAGCGGGCAGT